TTTATCGAGTCCACGGTCTGAATATGTAAATTATCATGTATACTATGTACTCCGGACTAGGCGCATTTCCCTACATCTTGCCAATATTACCAAGGTCAAACAAAAACTTTTTAATCTACCATCCCGCCACAGCATTTTATATGGGAACGTGCCTGGTATTCCGTGTAATTTATATCTCTGACTCACGGCAACTCATAGAGTTGTAGCGTAGTGTTTAGTGTGTCGAGTTTACACATTTCAGTACCATAGTTCGAGTCCCGCTCTTGGTGTTCTTAAATTCTATGTGATGTCCCAATTGCAGTTCACCCTGGCTGATAACAGCTTTTGGGAAAAATTAATGTGAAACTTAATGCAAATGTGTCTTCTACACTTATAATGGAATATTTCAATTACCAGTGTCCTTATCGGATTTAGTGAAATAAGATGAATACATCTGATATGGCCAAAATTTCATTCTATTTTACAAAATATATATTTGTTTTCTCTTTACTTCTCGTGTGTTTTGACATGGCAACCTAGATGATTCCATTTTATCGAGATTCCTATGCCAAGTTAGTTAAAATAATGACATCTAAGCCAGATTTTAATTTATTTCTATTATATTTCGCTATTAGCTAAATATTCGTATTTTTCGCAAAGTTTTGTCGCTAACACTTCTCGCATTACAGTAAAATTAGTTCAGATCTCATTATTATCACTTTATTGTCGGTATTATATCCACTTCTGGAGCACACATGTTTAAAGCACTTTATTTTGATTATTCAAACTCCATCATTGCATTATATTTTAGTCGATTGATTAAAAAATTCGCGTACTATACACTCAAATATTTATTTATTTTAGGATGCCATTGTTCTTGTCAGCACATATTTGGCCTTTTTCATTAATCACTATATACTTCAGTTGGAATTTGCAAAATAATCGGGCTTTTCATGTTAGAGCTACATTTCCGTTCACAAGGTTCTTTCAGAGACCAGCGTTTTATCTTTCTTCTATTGATTAGTCGGATTGATTTTATATTTTCATTTTCTTATCTTTGAACTGAAATTTAATTGAAATCCAAGTTTTTTCTGCATTTAAAATCATTTATCGCATCCTGCATTTGCATATGCTTTCACCTGGATAGTATTCCTTTATCTGCTATGTCTTTCGCTGATTTGCTCAAGGCTGGACTTTTTGACCTCTACAGCTTTTCGTGTCCTATGAATCTTGCTACTCAGAGTTCATGAAATTATCCGTATGAATCAAGTTGCTATTTTTGGATGTTCGTTCTTTTCCTATTTTGGCTGATAGTTTCGGCCTTATAGTCTTATTCAAACCTGTTTTACTTGCTCTCGATTATCACTACCCCAAATTTGTTCTCATATTATGATATCTAAAAGAATCAACCTTTTATTTTAAAACATTAATTAAAAAATTCAATTGCCAGATAAATTAACTATGGAGCTAAAGGCAACCGCTTATCTCGCATCCCAACATATAAATCTATTTTTTTTCATTTCAGCTAACAAAATGTACCAATATTTCCTGCAGGCTGTTCCGACTCGTCTTCTCTATCAATGGTCAGAAGTCAGCACGTACCAGTACGCCGTAACTCAACATGTAGTTATATTTACCTCTTCCATTTTCCAATGAGCATAACATTTGGCTATTTTGTTCTTATTAGTAGGTATCTTACTCACCAGTAGATTATGATGAGGGAAAATTTAGTTAAATTTCCCAATAATGATGTGAGTAAGCCTCACGTTTCCCATGAACTTCACACTTATTAAGTCTAAACTAGACTGCAGATTCGAATTCACATTGAATTTTAAAAGTCAATTCTTTGCCACATTTAAATTTTTGTGGTGGGATTATCGATAAAGCTAATTGTAATTATATAAGGTGTATTCACCCTATTTTGTTTAGGGCGAGGAAGGACTGGTAGTTGAATTTTCCCACAATGATATGAGTGGGTCGACGTTTAAATTCACTTTCCTATAGCCTTGCTTTCAAGATGAGGCTGTGCTGCTACTATACAGAAGGGCTAAAAATTCGAAAAAATTAGGTCAACGCCATTTTTATTCACTTAAACATTAGCAAATTATTAGATACAAAAATTTAAGGAAAGTTAAACGCAACTCTGCGATTAAAATTGCTATGCCAAGGTTATTGATATTTTGAAAATAATCTTTTGCGCCAAATTTAGGTCTCGAGAACATTTATTTATTTATTTTCTAAACTCAAATAAATGTAAGGGCTTTTATTTTTCTTTATTGAGAGACATTATAAACAGAAATATTATTGCCGTATATTTTCTTCTCTTAGGACAGAACAATTAGAAATCAGAAAATTCCTCAAGGCACGCCTGGGATATTCTTTCGCTACGAAATCAGTCCTTTGTCTGTGCACGTCGACATTCGTCTTAGCCTAGTAAGCGGACTCGTCAGACTTGCCTCCTTGGTCGGTGGCGTATTTGTTTCGGCCGGGCTTCTTCGGGATGCTGGAGCCATGCTACATCGCTGGTTGCTCGGGCCCATTTGGGCCCATTTTCTCTCCATATTGTTCTCACGCCTTCTGCACTCTTGGGATAGGTCTGGACTACAATCGGTATCTAGTTCTCCACCTTCTCTTCAGCTCATAGACGTAGTTGATTAGTGAATTTATGCTTGAGGCTAGATTCTCTTTTCTCTAGTAAATTCTTTGATACCTTATTCCTTGACAAGTTGTTCGCTATCAACTATTACCTTACTGCTACCGATACCCGTGTAACTTATTTTTTTACATGCTAGTTCACCTATAATGCTTGTTGCATGAATCTCGCATTTAGTGAATTAGCGTAGGGTGGTAATCGATTTAATAATCGTTGAGCTTCATTTATCACAAACAGCTAACCATAGTTACAAAGGATGCATGATAGGAGGCCGTGTGAAGGAATTTAAGTACAATAGCTGCTTTTATCCATCGTGGATTTGATCCTTCTTGAATTATATTTTAATGCCTCTATTTTCTTATTTTTATAATTTAGTGTGTATCCTTTAAAGATTATTTATTTATGAAATTGCTAATATTCACATCCTTTGTCTTTAGTTTGTCTTTGCATTTTCTCCTGCCGGCCATTACGACTATTATCTAATTATGGTTTAATTTGCAATTTCCAACCTATTGGTATCCTTTTTCTTTTCTTTTGCTCCACAGTTTTGCGAATGTTATTCCTTAACGCATTTTCAATTTATCAATAATTATCTACTACATCCTGGACATGTTTTCTTCTATTTTATCTTATCGTTTAGGCATACATTTCGAAGTTGTTTGTATTTAACCACAATGCCGTTTTCTTTGCTATTTCACCCTGTATATTTATTAACTTTTAATATGATCTTCATATAGGGCGCTTTATTCTTAGTTGTAATGGAGACCATCTTTTACCCTACCTGATCTTCCTAAAGTGACTTCATTGGAATAATTCATTTTAAATGACTTTTCATATTAAGCACTTTTTCTTAACTTTTTATTCTTTTTTTAGCGGACCTTTCGTTTTTATCGCTCACGCATTCATCCTAAATTAACCGCAAACAGTTACCAATCTTAATCGTCTTATTATGAGCCGCTACTTCAATGAGAATCCTAGCTTCCTTGTCGATATTGGCTGCGCTGTCGTTGCATTCCATCTATACTGGCTTATCTGTTCACGAATTTTAGAGTTTAAAATTTTTCGAAGGTAATTCTATTGCCTATCTTCGATCATTTTTAAATTATCGGACATTAACTTACCCATAAAAAGTAATAAGAATGCTAAATGAATTTCGACAAATCTCCTCAGTTTTTCAAGATATGAAGACCAAGATGGTGTGGCCTTTTGTGTGGTCGATGTCTCCTTTCGTTGTATAGAAGTTGGTTAACCTTGTTTTCGCAACTTTGTCATATTGGTAGGGAGACTTAGAGGAAGGTACCTAGTCTGGAGTCCATCGTATGCATGATCATTTCCAGAGTAGGACCATGGACCTAGTACATTCCAAGACGTTTCTTCGGCATTATAGTTGGCATCGTTAATGAGTCTCGCCATTAGCACCACAGAACAACTCGTCAAAGAGACAAGGGAAGCCGATTCTTTAACCAAACGTGTGCTAAACAGTTGCGGTATCCTCTTCTGCCCTGGGCTATTCACATTTCCTATATCAAATCACACCTTCACTGTTACAATTTTTAGCGTGCTTAGTTCAATTAGAGCGAAAAGTTTGCATATTGCCAAAACAAACTCGGAAAAGATCAGGCAACAGCAAAATCAGCAAAAAGAAGACGACTGGATCAAGGGAATATACTCAATTTTAGGAAAAGATTTCGCAGGGGGATGAGAAAGGAACAATCAGAAGCAAAGAGGAGACGACTTCAGTGAGTCTAATCTTGTGGACTGCATCAAAATGAATATTGTATAAAAGCCAAACGGCTGCAGTACAACGAGGTTCATCCGTCCTTGTCTGGTGGGATCGACCAAGGAATCTCTTTTTCATTCACTTTCATACGAACTGAAAGTCATCCTAACAACATTATCTCACAAGATTAATCGAAACCCAGTTTCTCTTCGTATTTGTAATACCATGTCTATCACTTCCTACGTCCTAGTCTCTTGTTGCCAACCCACAATTGTCGTGGTTCTACTTATTTGATTAGGCTTACTGAAGACGTCTCCTCTGCTTCTGATTGTTCCTTAATCATACCTCTGCGATCTCTTTTCCTAAAATTAAGGATATTACCTTGATCCAGTCGTCTTCTTTTTGCTGATCTTGACGTTGCCTGGTCTTCTCTGAGTTTGTGTAGGCAATATTCAAGATTTTCGCTGATCCTGCCTTCTTTAAGTCTCCCATTCATTAGATTTCTATCGGTCAATATATCAATGGTCTCTCGGCTGTTGCGTTTTCTCGTATTTTCACAATATGCAGCCAACCTTTCGGTCGATTTACAGTCGATTTTGTGCCCTGTTTGTGCAATGTTTTCCACTAGGATCTTTTCGTATCCATATTCCTGTAGAGTTTTTAATTTGTAGGCCGATTTTTCTTCCTATTTCACCGATATGCTTCTGCTCACAGTTGCTGAATTTGATGCGATAAACTCCCGAACAATCAAGTTTATCCGTCTTCTTGTATGTCTTCTTTGTTATCACCTTGATATTCCATTTCCATAGTAACAGTCACAATTGTTTGCTTAGTTCTGATTAGGGCAGGCAAATCCACTTTTGGTTGTCATCCTGATTCCTGATCTGATTTTCATAGAATCCAAGTTGAAATCGGCCATTTATAACCTCTACATTTTTTCTATAATTGATCTGGGATATCCGTTAATAAGGGAAATCCGTGTCAGTTTGTCCAACTCCTCATCACAGAACTCAGTGTACGTTAGTCATAAGCTTTTGCTGATCAAACTCCTTAGTATTCTGATCTTCAGTCTGTAGTAATGATGAGACTGAAAATTAAGGATTATTCCTGCATATGAATTCTTCCTGTATAGTTTTCTCATGAGTGATCCTTTGGAGAGCATGAACTTAATATTCTGAAAGGGTAGTTGTTCATCCTCCTCCACCTTTGTGAAATTAATTCTTTGATCAAGTTCGTTAATAAAATTAAGGAATTCATTTAAATTTTTCTTACTATGTGACTAGTAGTCAATTAAGTATCACATAAGCACTCTTGTTTGCAGTGGTGACTTCTCGAATTCCCTTTCCAACTTTTTCATGTACGCATTTGCTAAAAGAGGTAATAGTGGAGATCTCATTGGTAGTCCAAATATTTGCCGTTAAATGTAAAATGCGTACTCCTTACTGTCAGATTGATCAGTCGTGTTAACGATTCTTTCCGTATCCATTCTGCCTCAAGGATGTCCTCTTCTCGCTCCAATATTTCCAGCAAGACGCTTACTGCCTTTTCACCTGAGATGCTTGTGTACATGGATTGTCCATCGAAACTCACCAACAGTTCCAACCCCACTAACCCAATGTTCTGGATCCTTTGAAAAAATTCATATGAAATCTTAACGGTATTCGAGAGTCTGTCATTTACTTACTTGAGATTTAAGCAAATGAATTTCGCTAGGTTGTGTATTTCTCCATGCTTGTTGTTGACTATTTGTCTTAGCTGATTTGCTTACTTGTGTATTAGGGATAGAGACTGGACTGACGCGGCGGCGATTTGAGCTAGTTGGCTATGAGTACGTTTTACAAGAGACTTGGTCCATGTCGCAAAGGCATGACAATGAGACTTACTCAGAGGCTTTAGCCTTGAATTATTTAGTTAGACGCAGGGGAGGGCGAATAACGCCTCGAGTAGCACAGATAAGGGGGGGCAGGGGTCGAGTGAAATACGTGTATCAGGGAGGTTGCATACGGATTCTACGGGGCAAGAGGTAGACTCTGATATGATCTAGGGAAGGACTACGTAACAATATTACAGACTGATCAATATTCCCAGTACAAGGGTTATGGGGGTGAAAACGACAGCGTGGAGTGTGAAGGGGTTTCATGAATGCGGCTCGAAGGAGCACACCACACTACATCGAAATAAGCACGGTAAAAATGGTGATAGGAGGGTATAGGAAATGTGAATAGATCGAAACAGAAAGAGGGATACAAAAACTGTTTAGCACACGTTTGGTAAAAGAATCAACTTCACTTGTCTCTTTGAAGAGTTCTTGCTTGGTGCTAAGAATGGCCAGACTTACGATGCCGGCGAAACATCTTGGAATGCACCACGTTTACTGTCCGACTTTGGAAATTATCATTCATACAATGGGCTTATCCGACTCGTGCCTCCAATCCTGATCTTTCCACTTTTTCGTAGATCCTTTCCCTATCTATCTGGTTGATCGGTTTCATTCGGGTTCAGTCCCTGTGTGCATTTCACTCCATTCGCTATTTCTCAAGGCCATAGAAGCAGATACACTGCCGCTTCACTGAGCGGAGCGCTTAAGCTCTGATTGCCATGCTTGCAGATATCAGGCCTTCCCTTAGGGATCCTCTCCTTAATTAAACCCATGCTATCTTAGCAAACTGTGGACGCCTATATCTTGTCGCATGTAGCATCTCAAGTGGATTTCTAGTACATTTTGTCCATAGCGTCGAATTTCCGTGATAATTTTCTTATCTCTATTCCCAGTTCCCTGACTGCCAGTCCCTCAAAGTTATACTAGTTTATCCACTGACAACGTCTTCACCTTATTGCCTAAAATCCGAAAATCGCGGAAAACAAGAATGGAGCAAGACAAGCGAAAAGGAGACCCTTGAATTAAGGATCTACCGCTAACAAGAGTAAAAGGGATCGCGAGGAAGTGGTTTTCGGCAATAAAGCGAAGATGTTGCCTGTGATTGATGCTCATATTGAATAATCCAGTATAACTTTGTGGGCCTAGCAGTCAGGGGGCTGGGCAGACGGATAAGCAAACCGTCACGGAAATTCGGCGTTTGCCCAAAATTCACTAGAAATCCACTTGAATTGCCG